AGCGCGACGAGCGGAAGAGCGGGCGGGGGCGGTATTGTGTGGTGCATAAGGGGGACGGGGAACACGGCTACTCGCGCTGGTGGCGCGAAGGGTGGTGCTGCTGTGTGCCGCGCGGGGCTTGTGCCTCGGCGCGCTGGGTACGTGGAGGATCGGCCAGCTGGCGTTGGGGAGCGGGGCTGGGGTGCTCGCGTTGGCGTGGCATCAGCGCTGGGGGTACGAGCTGTTGCTCGGCGAGGCGTGCGTGTAGTCTCCCTGAGGCAGAGTAGATAAATTCCTTGAACCTTCGTGTCTCGGATATCCTTGATCTGACGTCTGCTTTCGCGTGGCCCTTCACGATAGGTCCTTTTCAATCTCCGACCGAATTACCTCCAAGCGGGGTTTGAAATCCGTACACACCCTATTCTACCCATCCTACCGCTCGAATTCAATACATGCCCTCCCGCGCCATCTTGAAACCTGGCGAGGACCCTGCCCCACCTCCTATGTATCCACCGGGAAGTTCCGCAATCCTGGAAACCGCCGCTTCGACGTACGCAAGCTCAGCAGCTAACTCATTGTCAATGCCGCCCCCGCCTTCTCATTCAACGCAGCAAGGCAACATTACGCCCACCTACGCCAACCAAGGGATCCAAGTGGGCGAGTCCTGGACCACCGAATTGCTCCGGGAAACCTACACTCCGCACTTGACCCAGGACCGACGATTCGACCGCATCCTCACACGGCTGCAGCGCGGCGGGTGGTCCGTGTGCACCTTCCTGGAGAAGCTGTTCGCCAACCCCGGACCCAGCGAACTCTTCCGGTCTCAGAAGCATGCCCAGATGGCCTCGGCTTTCTTGCGAGGCAGCAAGAACGAGATGGTCGAGTCTGATCACATCGTCGAACTCATGTATTCAAGCAAGGACAGTGCACCCAAGGCCATCCGTAAGACGGCCGGTGGTGCATCTGTGGAGAAGGACGGCTCCCAAATGGCGCGTTATCGCTTGCGCGAATGGGCAATCCGCAAGGTCGAGGGGTACGTCAGTACAGCATCGAATGAAGTCTCGGGGAAGGATGGAGGCTTCCATCTCCCAACGAAATCCACCTGGGATTTTATCCATGGGTTTTCGTTCGCGAAAGCTATAAGACCCAACGAGGAGAAGGCGGCCGTTCTCCTTCGAATCCTTGCAGCGGCAGCTCTTCCAGCAGTGCTCAGTGAAGCCCTCCGCCCATCCTCACGAAATCCCGCCCCGTATTTTACTCACCTCGCTCGGCCCGTGCAGCTCGGCCAGGGGGGAAATCGAAGGGACCCAGTAGTGGTTTGCGAAAGCTCGCGGGGATTTGGCTCTTCGCGAATAATGCATCATCCTCGATCTTCACTGTTTTGAGCCGCATCGGCCTCTCGTCCTCGTATACCACTGTCTTGAGAACTCCCCGTGCACTGTCCGCATCCGCGCAGTTACTGATTCGCCTCAAGGCCCGAAAACGCGCCTTTCTTCTCATCTATGACAATGCGATCAAGGGGGCACCGGCATTCAAACCGGTGACTAAGGGCTGGTAGGTTAGTCCGGCCGCGAGGCCCCCAAAAAAAAAATTGAGCCTCCCATTTTCGGAGCTTATATCATCTTTGGAACATGTCCTTGGGTATGGTTCACTTCAGAATGTCAATAGAACCTTTGCGGACGATGGTTTAGACAATTTGGTGGATCGCCTCCATATATGTCAATCAGTTGTGGTTTGTTTGCCAACACCGCCTATATCCGGACCAGTCAATTACATCTCAAAGCACTGGAGTAAATTTTGTTCCCATCGCGGGGACTGAGCTGGGACACGGTAAAATGCACCGGAGAAGGTATGTACTAGTCTATGGACGTCGGGAACAATATTGTACGCCCTCCGGTGACTTAAAAATGTGGTGAATTTCCTTATATGGAGCGTGGAAATGCTTACGTTAGTCAGTAGGTCCCTCCGCGTGGCCTTGAAAAAAGAAATCGGCCCTACATCTTTTTTTTGAATGCCGGTTCCCCCTTGAATGCGACAGGCGGTAATTATCATCAATGTTTGGTTGTGCATGGTCAACACGTGAGATTTGCGGAGATTGAAAAGGAAAGCAGACGTCAGATCAAGGGGTGTCTAAGTAAAAACTTCCGGACCATGACTACGGAAAACCTCGGTGGTCGGACCCCGGATACTAGGAGGACCACCACCACCCGGCAATCACTCGGTCCGATCATCCGACTATGACATCACCTACCCGCCGCGGGTGTCCCTTGGGTGTGCCTCCTCAATCCTACTCGAGAGCCATGGCGGACTCTGCTGCCTCTGAGAGTGAGGAATCAAGAAATAAAAGGTATGTAGTTGAGTCCCTGATCGATAAACTAGGCATAGGTCACAGTATCAGTCGGAAATAAATCTAGGTGCCGCTCACGAGCCTCAATTACCTGCAAGTCCAGGTGCGTCAATCCATTCCCGCATTACTACGTAGTTACTCTCAATGTATGTCCCAATGACTCGGACCCTCGAGGAGCGACTCCGACGGCAAGAGGAATACATGAAGCTTCTGAAGCTCGAGGTTTTAATTGTGCAAGAGAGTGACGACAAAGCCACGGTAAGGCATCTGGAGCTGCAAAAATAGTTGTATGATCTCCGAAAAGCAGTTCTGAACAGTGCGGCACGTCTCATTGCGAGTTGAAGAAGGATCAAGGTAGGGGACGCGTCGCGCGTTGTGTACGCTTGTTGTTGTCTCGGATCAAGCACGGCTTGTCTTGACCACCCCATATTTCTAGAAGGGAATCTCGCAGCAATGAGGTTTTTAGATATTGGTAACGAATGCCCCCAGCTAAGCACATCACCCGCCTCAGAACTATCCAAAACCATTCTGAATCATAATCAAGCGATATGGAAGACCTCGTCCAAACGACGCTGAAAACCTCTTTGACGGGACCCCGGACACTAGTCAAGGTACCACACGGGTGTAGTGATGGTCCGGAATTAAGGTTTTCGACACCCCTTGCGTCAGATCAAGGATATCCGAGGCACGAAGGTTCAAGGAATTTATCTACTCTGCCTCAGGGAGACTACGTGCGTGTCAACCGAAACCGGATCTCATTGTGACGGTTGTTACTCGCTTCCTTACTCTTCACCACCACCACCGCTCCGCTATCCTCCATCCACCTTCACCATGCCAAAGCGATACTCGAGTGCTGTAATCCCCGCTCTGATACTCTCCCGGCCTGCCCGACATTCACGCACTTCGTGCCACTTGAAACTTGAAACTTGCCCGCAACTGTCGTGCCGCCGCGCCGCTTCATGTGGGACCGGGAAACAGGGTCACCCTAGTACGTCTAACTCTTGGTCTCACCGCCATCCAGCCGACGTTGGCCCCCGTGCACCGATCTCCTGCGTCGTGCCGCTCCCTCGGCGTCTTGCATCAGGACTCCCATCACGCGCACCCGCAGCTGAGGCGGGAGTGGCGCGTGGTCCTGTACTACCTGTCCTCTTCAACAATACATATTCCCTCGTTGTGCCTTCGTGCGCTACTCCAACGCTACCCTGTCGCCCCAAACACGCCAATATTTTGGATTGTAATAGTAGATTACACCCAATGAACTTGTAGCTGCTCTCATTTTCTTAAATTTGTTTTTGTCATTTTCTCATTCCCTTAGGCCTCAGGCCTCAGGCCTTTAAGTGGCACAGGCTCTTCAGAATCTCCCGGCGCGATCAATGCGAGACTGTCACAGTGGCGCGTCCCCTTTACCGAGTGATTTTCCATTCTGAGCGAAAGAGTAAACATGACACGCTCATTTCCCCTTTAGGAATCACGTGCATGGGGCGAAAAGACGCCTTCTGCCGGCCAATGCCGGCTCCTGGCCGAACGGTAAGAAAAATGAAGAGTTACAGCGGAATTGATTATTCTTCGACTTCGGACGGCCGGGGCGGTGGAATGAGCGAGATATGCTCCTGAAAGCTGGTTCAATTGAACCTAAGAACATTTTAGGCAAGGAATTTGGTAGGATGCGGCGGCGCAGATCAACGACCTGAAAACTGTAGTATACGATGTAGCTCAGGATTTTGAATGCCGAAAATCACGACGACGGTGTGGACCATACGAGCGAGCACCCCAATTCGCGTCCTCGAGGTGGTGGAGAGGAATGTTGCGAACAGAAATAAGCTCAAGCGAGTCATGACGCAAACTACATCAAAGGAAATCGCGATACTTTCTTTGCTCTGAACCCGTCTATGACATTGACCATCGCATCATCGCAGAAAGCATTATCGCAGAAATACATCATCGTCTCGGTCATCTCGACGAAATTTATTACGCTGTGAACCCGCCCTTGGTGTATAAAAGCTGCCCCCGATTCGCAGTCGACACAACAACCCACTCCAACAAATCTTACACTCAACACTCTTACAATCCCCAATTTGACCATGCCCTCTACCAAGAACTCCGCGCCCGAGTACGAGGTTCGTTTTACAATGTCCCCCTTCTCAGATGTGGGCGGCGTTGAAATCCATTCACAGGTTGGCGACCACGTCGAGTACCAAGCGATCGGTGGCGGCAACGTCGAGAACTCCACCACCACCGGTGAAATCACCGAAGTGGTCACCAGCAAGGCTCCCGCCGGTGAAACCGGGGTCAAAGTGAATGTGAGCCCTCTTCCCTGAACTTGCTTGATTTTACTGTATTAACGTTTGATTTCAAAGGCCTCCAAAGACGAACCTCGCTATGTGATTCGCAACGACAATGTACGCGGCTTCGTTCCTCGTAAAATTGCACCTCTCACAGATCATTTTGAGCAGACCGGCAAGGAGACTGCATACAAGTCGAAGAACATCACCGGTGAAGTTGAAGAATGAAGGGAGGGTCGTCAGTGGAAATTCTCGCGCTTGAATCAGCTGGTTAGCGAAGTAATGAATATGGAATCTGTGCTATCGAATGCTGGATGAATCGAAGTTAAATATGTGAAGATTGACTTGTCATCTCCACTGGTCGGAGCGGTGCAGGAGATACGCCATACAAAGACACTTTGGCCGAGTGGTTAAGGCGATGCCCTGCCAAGGCATTGGGGTCCCACCGCGTTCTTTGGAATCGCTCAGAATTCCACTCTCTTTTCTTCGGGTTTTTTGGTCCATTTCACTTCCTCTCCTCCAATTTGCTTCTGTCTAGTGCTGGCAAGGTCCGGTTCAGGAATCGGTTCGAACCCGAACTGGACCGAACCGAACGCGGCGTTCAGGTTCAGGGTTCACCGAATGGCTGAACCGAACGCCAGGTTCACGTTCGGCGTTCGCGCTTTGCGCCCCGCGTTCGAACCTGGACCGAACGCCGAACCTGAGAGTCATAAAAGCGAATATTCTTCCGATGATTTCGTGAAATTCTGACGGTATTTTGCACGCATTGTACACCACAATCATGTATATTCGGCCGGGCCCATTCCCCTGTCTATGTGGGGCAGATTCAGCAACTATATGGATGTTCGCAAACTAAATCTTATGATGCAGGATTGCTGAATTGGTGAGTGAATTTTTCTGTGCTCCTGTAGAGCATCAAATACTGATTCAAATTACTTACACACACATATGTGGGTCTCCAAATTACGATTTGGATGCTCCTGGACCAAATTTAGGTGCTCCGAGATCCCCGAATGCCTACAAGGTTCGAACGCGTTCGAACGCTGAACCGAACCTGAACGCGCGTTCAGGATCGGCCCGAACCGAACGCCAGGTTCAGGTTCAGCGTTCAGAGCAAACTGCCCTGAACCTGAACCGAACCGAACCTTGCCAGCACTACTTCTGTCTGGTCGCTCCATGTTTGATCACATTCTTGTAGTGGTCGATTTAGAGCCAAAATCGTCTTCGATTGTCATGATCGAGGTAATTTATGCAACCTCAAAGCTACAGTCAAGCGCATACAGACTACTATCCTTCCCCTAGCACCCGAACACTTCAGGAAAAGTCGTACAGATCTCCATATACAGAGATGCAGACATGAATCTGAATACATAGATCGTCAGGAATATGGATGATGTGTGGGGTGAAAAAAAAATCAGCCAAACGACCCAGAACTCATTGAACAAGGCCGTTTTTGATCAAGAGTCCGGGTGTCCGAATGGTAGGTAACGTAACGTTGCACAGCATTTCATGTGCCAGCTCATCCATCCCGCACTCCGGCCCCAATTCTCCTCCATTACCTTTGAAACTGGACATACGACTTCTACTGCATCTATTGTGCATACTGTATCTCTCAAACCCGGCATTCCGACACCCTCTTCCCTCAGGGCTCTCGTCAATCGCTGCAAGTCTGGCTGCCCATGGACGGTCTGGGCGTGCACGACCACTGCGTCTTACCACCTCGGGGACCTCGCCGTCGCTCTCGCCATCAAACTCGTCACTGGAGGAACTCGTGGCGCTGCTTTCTGCGGCGTCAGATGCGCCTTCATCGTCGGATTTGGTGGGTGTATTCTCCTTTTGTTTTCTGCTCAGTCTGCTGACACCTGCTCCCCCTCTGCCCCGTCCACGGCCTCGACCACGGCCCTGACCACGCCCCCTGGCCTCCTGCCGCTTTTTTGAGTGCCCTCGTTGACCATCCGATTCAGCTCGCGGAGAGCACGGCGTTCCTGTACTTGTTTGGCAAGTTCTTCTTTCTCAAGTCTCCTTCGCTCCTGGTTCGCTTTTTTCTCCTGCCGTTTCGCTTCCGCCACCGCCTCCTTCTGTTCCTTCTCCTGGGCCTCCTTTCGCTTCTGTTCCAGCCCCTCCCCTGCTGTGAGGCATCGTGCAGCGCCCTGGAAGTGTGTGCGACCTTCCTTCTTCTTCCCCATCTTTGCATTGAGCAGATTGTTGATTTTCAGGTTCTCTCGTGCCATCAGAACTGCATGGATATTCGCTGCTTCGGCTTCAGCCCTCGCTACCGCCAGCTGCGCTTCCAGCGTGATTACTGTCGCGAGCAGCGCCATGCGTGACGTGTGCCCCGGTTGGCGTGATACGGATCAGGTGCGACGTTGTTCTTCGGGTACGACCCTCTGCGGAATATGCAGGGACGGAATGGGTGCCTCGGATGCAACATCCGGCGAGGCGGAACGGGGATAGGTGTCGGGAAGATGGGTTTGGTTAGATGTAGCCCAGCTTGGCGCGTAATCTTCCTCCGGGGTTCAGTGGACGTATACCCGTTTTTCGCAAAGCACTGAAGATGTTAACTTTCGTGAAGGCCTTCTCCCGAACCTCGAGATACACGGCTATAACATTGTCCTTCGTCACCTGCACTCCAATGTCTGCCATCTCGTCACATTTCTCGCCCCAGTATCGCTCCGCAGGCCCGAATATACCCACGTCCAAGGGCTGTGTATGATGTGTAGTGTGAGACGGGAGGCTGAATAATGTAATGTTCTCCTGGAGGGCGAGTTCAATGAGGGGCAAAGTTTCGTGCGAATGATGGCCATCCCAAATGGTAGGAATACCCTCATCGTGGACATCGCGCTCCTTGGCGTGGGGAACAAAGACTTTGACAAACCAGTCTCGGCACAGATGGTCGTCCTTCCACCCGTTCTCAGACACACTAATGCTGTATTGGTCAGATGTGTCAGTGGTGTATTCCAACATTGAAACACAAATTGAATAAATACCAGCCGGCGCCTCTGGTAGCTTCGGTGAACCAGCGCTGCATCAGCCGCTTCCCTTGCAACACAAACCCAGGAGGAAGCCTCTCCCCAGCTGGATTACTAATTTCACATCACTCCTTACGGTTTCCCCATACGTCCTACATCCTATGGATACTGCTAGTGGTGGTGGGCAATCTCAAATGATTTTCCGTGACGGTCACGTGCATAGTTACATGAGACGCGATCGATTTCGGTTGACCCACGAGTTGCGCTTGTTGCATGGCTCCAGTTCATCGAATTCCTCCATTTTTTTTTCGTAATTTAGCATGAGAATATGTCCTGGAGACCCCTCCCAAAGACCTATAATTTTTGAAGGCTCCGACGTGCGGTTATGGCAGAGTTTCTGATTGGCATGCTTCGGATGGGTCCCATGGTTCTAGAGCATTTTTAGCAACGGTAAGCTCAGGTCTTATGGTGCGGATAGTTTTACGTCTGTCAGAGGACCCGAACTCCGCTATCACCGGTGGGTTTCGAGCTTGCAAAGTTGGGAGGATCGAAGCTCAGACATTGAGTTTTCATTCGCTTTTAATATGTTGTTCATCAAATCAAGACATTTTATGAAGTTGATTGTACAGGTGCGATGGTTTCTAGACGATCCAGAGCGGCCAACAGCGCCGCTAACCGATCAGCCTTAATTTTCATCTTCGACTTCATCGGGATATCCTTGTCTCCACGCCGTCGATGAAGTTCGAGTTGATCCTTCAATTTGGGGTCGGTCATCTGGGAAATTTCTGCGCGGTCGCTCACGATGCCAATGGCAGCTAAACGTTCCGTCTCTTTCCGAAATTTCTCGGTGTTCTCGGTGTCCTTGGCCACCCGGTTGTCCACCACTTCCTGTCTGTGTGCAGTGAGCTCCACCTGTCTTGCCTTTTCGACGCCGATCTCATCTATACGCCGAGCTTCTTGGCGCAAAAACACATGATGCTCCTCCGTAGCCACGTGCGTGTCCATGAAATTTTGGGTATCGTTCCGGTGAAACATCGCCTGGTCGGTGAAGTGGCCAATGGTCGAGCTCGGGCTTCCACGAGAAAAACGACGCCACATTCCCAGGAGGCCTTCGTTGGTGTCGTTGGTCGAAGGCATATTGCCAGCCGCTCGCTCCGCAGCCGTGGATTGGTCGATCAAACCACCTTCGTCAAATTCAGTTGTAAACCGCTCGAAGCGCTCTAGGGCGCGTTTCAAGCCAGCCATGGTGAGCGGCCTCGCATCTGGGAGTGATGGAATAAGTCTTATGCATGCTTCCCAGGCTGGTAGATCGCTCCATGGTTGTCCGTCAAGGGTAGCAGATTTGTACGAGTCGGCAGAGGGCGAAGTTAGGATGGAAACATCATCGATGAGCTTCTTCATGTGAACTTTAACCGACAAATGGAATGGCCCGAGGTCCAAAATATTAAGTTTTTCTGTGCCGGGCCCGCGGACGTGCAAAGCGTAAGCGTGCATTACGGTCATGCAAAAAAGAACCAGCGCGACCATCTGCGATACTGTTTTCGGGCAGTTTATACCTTTCACAACATTCTGTTCGAGATGATTCAGCGCGCGTTTACTTTTGCTGTCCTTCACAAAATCCATAAAACGACGGTGCTGCTCCAGATAAGTGATGAGCCGAGCTGCGCCGCGACCAAAGGATTGGTATCACGTATTACTGGTGTCTGGGAATCGCACGCCGGCGCCGATTGTTGGTCGGAAATAATTTTCATACACATCGTGAAGGCCTTTCTTATCGTCTTTGTGGTTTACGAGAGCACCGAATAGGCCGATCAGTTTGACTCCACCGCGCTCGGACACCTTGAGCGCTCGTTGCACCGCAGCCGTCGATTCACCGATCTCCTCGGCCAACTGGATCGTTGCGTCGTTGTCCTTGTTGGCCAATAAGACTGGTGGCTCGAGTTCGGGATTCTCCTCGTAATGAGCCATCATACCCTCGTTGAATGCGACACAACAATTCAGTTCCTTATGCATGGAACAGCCAGCCCAGAAGAAGAGCTCGATGTCGCGTTTCTGTGCGGGGGAAAGTTGAGAGAAGACCTCTTCACCGATACGGAATGCGAGGGTATCCATTGAAGACTTTGTCAGCGTGTTCTTCTGGTCGGTCGAAAGTTTCTGCCATTCTTCCTCTCCGCCTACGTCTTCGAGATTTTTCTTCAGGATATGGCGCACAGTCTCGACGAGTTTCACGGGCTCCATTTTGTGAAATTCATCGTATCCCAGCATGATTCGAGAGGATTCTTTCTTCCATGCCTCCACCAAACGCCAAAACTTCTTCATATCCGCCGCATGGTCGCCGTTCATTCCTTTCAGGATTCGCAAAAAATCGAAGACCTCGAAGTTGAACTTGGAGCGCTGTCCAAGAGGACTTTGGCGAAACAGCATAAGAATTGCGGAGATTTGGTGCTTCAAATTGGCGAGTTGGCTCTCACTGCTGTGCGACACGGTCGGGGTGAGAGAAAAAAT